AGGTTTTGTCATCTGATAATGACAAAACCTTGTCAAAACATTGTACATTTGCTGTTATGTTAAACTTATATTAAATTTTTTCTTTAATCCCCATTCAAGCCACCTCCAAGCATTATTATTCTCAAAGTGAGTTCCTCGTCATCGAATTTCAATTTTGGATTAGTTTTTAAAAATAGCTTTCAGAAGACAACTATCACGGGTATGGCCAGAAGAATCTTGAAAAATGTATAAATGTGTTTGGATATAGCTCTAAAATTAGTCCAGTAAACTGGAGATTTGACTAAAAATAAATTGCAGTATAATTTCAGAAAAAGTACCACTTTTTAACATATAAAAAATCCCAAAAATCCACGAGGTGAAACATACAAATTGTATGGTGAAATCCTTTAAGAAAAAAATCACAGAAAACTGGAAAATATGTATAGTTTTTTTTTTTTTAAATTCAGGGCTACTTTGTTTTACTTTGTAAAGGTTTATACCATATTAAAGTCTTATTGGGAGTGAATAAGCAGTTTTTTGGGGTGCAATGATAAAAACCTGGATTTTTCATATAATTTGTATGACTGGAACTAGTTATAAACAGTATTATTTTTATTATGGTTTGTACGTTGAATTTTTACATCTATATACAATTTTGTTTTCAAATTTATCAAACTTAATAGTCAATACAAGTGCATTTTTCTGAGTAATTATATAAAATAAAAAACAAATCTTAATAGGAATTGTCCATTGTACTTCAAAAACTTTTCTTGGGAAAGGAGACAAACTGTAGATGAAGATCAAGCGTGAGGGTACACATGACGTAAACAAAAGTTATATTTCTGATTTACAGCTTCCTGTATAAAAGGTTGAAAACCTACAGTTTCCATATTTCTATTTATTTTAATAAAAAATCCTGTAATCCCTAACACTAGCATTGCATATAAAATCTCTAAAAAAACATGCCAAACAAATTTATGACTGCTTACTTGACTCAAAAGTAGCAATGAATTGAAAATTTGATCCCTTTTCCAATTATTTGCATACTTTTTCTAAAAAATAACATTTGTTATTGAAAGAAAGTGTTCCTCACTAAAAAAAAAGTATAATTTTGCATACCATGTCATAGACCTATGTAATAAAATTCAAACAAAAAAATTTTTTTAAATTTATTTTCTCCCAGTTTTAATTATGAAAATGCAGTTTTCACCTCAAAAATGTATGTTCCACTCTTAGGACTTTGAATCAAGTGGTTTGAATCAAGTTTCATAATTCTAAAACTAATATTGTTCAATCATGTTAAAATTTATGTAATTTTCATAAATAAATTATAGGTTTCTCCTACTTTGGCTGCAAGTACCAAGCTATGTATTCAATTTGGATTTAAAAACAATCTAGTGTTTACACTGGTTTATTTTGTAATAAAATACGTCACAGAACATTTTCAGGGATACAGCTTACATTAATCAAACTTAGGAGATTTCTGCAAAACTGTTGAAATAAAATGTACATGTCTGTGTGTGTGTGAAAGAGAAAGCAAAGAGTAGTTGAATGGTTTCCTTTCTTTTCTAACCATAATACTTTTTGGTTAAATAATTTTTTGTATATTATCATCACTTTACATCTGTTACAGATTTATTTATGTATTGAAAAGTAAATTACACATACCTCTATAAAATACATACCTGACCATCTGAGAACAAGGCAGTATTCTCTTTCCAAAAAAAATAGGTTCCAAAATAGAAGACTAATGAGTGCCATACTCCTTGTACAAACCATTTGGCAAATTGTAATCTACTCATTCTGGAATTTCTTCTGATATTACTATTAAATAAATTTCAATTAAGAGTTGAGACCAATCATTTTCTTTAATGATTAATAAATAACCTCATGAGAGAAAATGTTTAAATACACAATTGTCCACATCATTAAGTAGTGTTTACTTTTCTCAGATGATAGGCTACTAAACAACTTGCAACAACAAATGGAGTCACCTGAATTTACCAGACTAAATTATTCAGAGAAAAACTATATTGCAGAGTTTTCTAATGATTAAAAAATAGGATTAGATGTTTATAACCATTAAAGATCAGTTGGTATACAGTCTTGTACTTTCTATGTATTAAATAAAATCTATAAGCTATAAGGTCCAATCAAACTTACTGTTTCTAGCATTATTACTTGTAACTATATATCAGCTCGCTCCCAAGTTAAATTTTTTTGTGTTAAAAATTGTTTGAATTTTCTAAAAGTTTAATCAAATAGTTGCTAGTCTTGATACTAAGACTTTGTACGCTAAAATTCCTATAAAAGAAGCGTTACAAATTTGATTTTGGGTAAAAAATGGTTTAATAATAAATTATTAAACCTATATATATATATATATATCTCAAGCTTTTTTGAATGTACCAACTTATGGATTAGCAATTAGCCCTAAATTAGTTCTGTTCTAGTCAATATATTTTTTATGTTATTATAGGAAGAAATGGTTTGATTAGTGCCTTGAAGAAATTACAACTTTTTGTACCACAAACATTTTGATAAGACTTTTGTAATTTTCAAACAAATTGTTTGTTCAATCCTTTTTGAAATATTTAACTAGTTAGTATCAAAACGTTAATTTCACAGTTGAAAAAAAAAAAAATTAAAAATGTTGATTACTCCTAAATTTGTTGTTAGCCCACAGATACCTTTGAATGACTTTATACCATTTAGTTTGGAAAAAAACCTACTCAGTACTTTGTTCATAAAGCATTCAATCTGGTTAGTGAATTTCAAGATTTTATTTCGAATTTGAAAGTCTGTAATGTTTTCTTTAATGAGGTGATTTTTTCTACGCCACTACTGACAACGTTATAAACTCTTAAATTCTCAAATGAAAATGTATGATGCTTCAAAATATCCAATTTTTCTTGTGCTTAAATTGTAAAGTAAAAAAGAAAATCAAACATTTGTTACATCCAGTGTTTCCTCAGGATCTTTTTTGCATAGCATTAAAATTGTTTTGGTAAATTCTAATTAAAAGATAATATTCTTGCACTTAAAACTCATTCAATGTTCACCAAATCATCTGTCCTTGCTTTACATGAAGCTACAATGGATCTAAACTTTCATTTTAAAAAGAACTTCCACACCACACTTACAGTATTGAAGATGGGAAATGGACTTTTTACCTAAAATGTGATAAAACACAGATGTCACTACCACAGGCTGTTGTTACCCATAAAGAAACTGTCAGACATACTTTGAGTTTTTTTGAACATTATGCACTTAAGTGTGACAGTCAACCTATTAAACATAGGTTTCAAAAGGTTGTGTCCAGTCTCCAGTGAAGAATTTGAAATATGAAAGAAACCCTCGTAATTTGTCATTTGAAGCTAAAACTAAACATTAACAAGTCAGTAAAAGAAAAAAACTAGCAAGAGTCCAGCTAACTGTCTAGATCTTTCTATACTTACATATTAACTTTTAATAGGGACAGAAAAATTTGTTATTAGAACACTAACTTTGTAGTACTAAGTGTAAAACATATACAATATTTTAAGGGTGATTTTTTGGTTGCTGTTACTTCTTAGTGTATGTCATAAAAACAAATTATTGTAATTTTGATCAAAATTAGTCTATGTGTAAGTTACTAATATTTTGCATATTCTCGACATTTTAGTTTCAAATATTATACATAAAAAAAAAAAGATCTCTCTCTGTGAAAACTGTGATGCTTAATACAGCAAGCAATGTCAAGCCTTTAATAAGCAGGAAGCTATCAAATGTGCAACAACAAGCAAGAGAAATATTTCAAAAATGAACATGCTTTCCATGCTTCTTATTTTCAACAACATATGCACACATATAAAAAGGTCATGCTTGGAAATAAGTTACTTTTGAAATGAACATACATGACTACAACTTGCTGCTAAACCTACCTGTACAAGTGAGGGTTCTCGAGTAAGGTTTTCTGACTTATATGCTGCTCTGACAAGCCATAGATGATAATAGGAAGGGAGGTGAAGAAAATGTTGAAGAACATAAGGTAAATGCTGTGGTATAATGTCTAAATGGGGAGGTGGAGAAGGTTACGGAGGAGAAAAAAAGATTAATAGAAATTAATGCTTGCTGTAAGGATCTGACGTGTTTTTTGAGAAGGGTTTAACTTAATCAACTGGAATAGAGCCAAAAACACAGCTTCTTGACAAAATTTTAATAAAATAACCCTAGTAAAGTTCATATAAAACATTTTTTTTCTGTAGATTTTAAGAAAATATATAGCAGAATATTTAATCTTTTTTCCATTTGTGTGTACTTATTTAGAATGTAAAAGAGCAATAGTTGAGATAGTGTTTTTAAACACTGTACTACTTATGCAGACTCTGGAAATTCAATTTATTTTTTAATGCTACATTCAGAAATTGAAATGTTAATCTAAAATGTATTTGTTTTTAGAACCATCATACTGGTGTTAGTTCTAACTGTATAATATTCTTTAGCAATTATTTTTTGGCAAAAAGCAACTAATGTTCCAAAACAGAAAGAAGAGATGAAGCTTTGAACATACGTTACCATGCCTTTAATAATATAAAAAACAATTTTGACTTTATAAACATTTAGAAACTTCAAAACCAAGTAATATTTTATATTAAAATTTTAGCTACAGAAAGCACTGCTTTATCAAGACCAAACCTCAAAATATGAGATTTAAAATTTAAAAAATGTTTTAGTGATTATCTTATATAATACAGATTCTTTCCTTGCCAGCAGAAACAAATAAAAACAAACCTGTATTTGTATAGTACAAAATCCTTCACTAAACACAGCTATCTTTGCTATGACTGTTATTTTTAAGTCAATCAATTTTGAGACAAAACAATGTGATATAATAACACCTAACACTTCTTATTATTTAAATACACTAAAATATTAAAAATTATACATTAAAATGATATGGTTTAGAAAATTTGTAATATTAGTCTGTATGTTCTAAAATTAAAGAAGCTTCACACACTTACTACTTATAAACATATGCTTATTCAATGTTTGATCTAGGCCGTTTTTTCATTCCTAAATGCACAGTTCAGCATTGCTTCATAAATAGTATGATCAAATTTTCCAATCAAAATCTCAAAATTCAAAACTTACAAATAAAAGAGTCATTTTAATTAATATTATGTAGTTCTGACCATAATTACTAACATAAACATATTTCTTTGAACTGTGAATTTTACAGGCACCATTAGCTATCTATTACTCTAATATATAGCACAACACCTTAATTTTGTCATAATTATTCAGTACATTTCAATATTAAACTTTGAGAAGATCAATACATAATTCATTTATGTACCGGATGAAAATTTTAAAAATAAACTGTGCACCTATTCATAATATCAGATGTTTCAAAATGAAGATATCTTAACTAGGGATGCATAGGTAATAAAATTTGGCCGAATACCGGGTCCTGGCACCCGGTCACTAAGCTTCAGCCGGGGCCGGGTGTCAATCAGAATTGTGTTCTCCCCCCCCAAAAAAAACGACATACACAAAAATTGGAAACAAAAATAAAACTGACGTTTATTACATTTAATCGAATAATCACCAACAGAACATTCAACTTTCAATGCCTAGCCCAAACTTCTCAAATCTTAACCCCATTGTTCTCAAATCTCCCACCTTCCCCAGAAATTCAATTCTTAAGCCATGCCTGTTATTAATCCCTATTGTTCTCTGAATCCCCAACTTTCAGTGGGTGGGCAGTTTTTTGTTGCTCGAAACACGTTTTTTTTTTATAACAAAACCAATTATTGACTGTAACTTTCAGTACCATGTTAGTTGCCACAAAGATTAGGGCTTAAATGCCTAACTTCAACACTCTGTGCGTCCCTAATTATAACATCGTTATTTAAAAGTACAGAATATTAAACTATGTATTGCTCAGAGTGGAACCTTATAGATGGTACAGTTTAGAAATACAAGACACAATAGCCATAACATTATATTTTTCATGACTTTCTATAAAAAGACTAAAGAGCTGAATACAGGTTCTCAAGATAAAAGACTGGATTAGTCTGTGTTTGTATGTTATTTATATCTCCATTATCTATCTTTTGCATTTTAAAATTGGAAATTTTCTCATTATGTTTGGAAATGAACATTAACAAAACCTTCCATATCTTTTTTTCCAACATCAACTTAAATTCAAACTTCTGTATCCTAGTTAGTATTCAAAAACTAATTCTGTCTAACAAACTTACGTGCTACATCAGTTTCTTGTTACAAATTTAATATCAGTTACATTTATATAAAATTATACTTTTAATTCTAAACTAAAAATCTTAAAGCTTTTCCTGCACTCAGTAAAAAATTATTGTGAAACAATTACACAGTACTTTTCATTTAGCATCCAAAACCATATTAATACCCCTTGACATAAAAGCCATTACTATAACTTTTGCTTTGAGAAGAAACTGGGAAACAAACCTGCATGCACTTTAAGTTCAGACAACCAGGGATTATATAATGCACATGAAGAGAACAATGACTAAAAGACTGCAATTTGGAAGATATTTTGAGGTATACTTTCACAATTTTTAATTGTTTATTGTATATATATATTGAATAAAACTTTAAAAACTTTCTCACATAACCGTATAAGAAATATTTTTGTTGAAAGTGTGTTGTTGAATGCACTTTAAAATTTTTAAAAGCTTAAATTTTTACATTTCATCTAAACTTCTGCACAGACTTAATATTATAAAGTTCATTTTAGAAGTTACAAAGTGAAAATTAAAGTTACATTAATGTTAGAAATACATTCCCAGTTCTTTCTTGGTCCACGTTCTAAAAGTACTTGCATTATAGGACTTTTGATTTTGTAATTTATCTAATTTTTTTTAATATTTTGATTGCTTATTATCATCATTATTACCCATTTTGTCAATATAAAATGCCAAACATGCTGGAAGGAGAAGAGAAAAAGAACACTACCATGCCAAAATCTACACACTTATTTTGAAAATGAAACAGAAAATTTTGCATGCATTGCTAGACATTCATAAAACAGTGTGTGTTTATATACATACATATAAATATATACATAGAATACTGTACGATCCATATGATTTTACAGAAAAATATACCACAATACTTTTGACCTAGAAAAATTATAAACTTTGTTTAAAGTAACCTCAAACCATAAATTTATTAAAGCATACAAATTTACAGTTATAGACGTTTTTTCACTCTCCCTATCAAGTAGCCAAACTACTGATGAAATATGCAAAGGTTTAAATCATGAAAATATTATATATTATGTCAAAAAATGAATATCATCACTTAGAATGAAAAAAACACACACATATATATATATATATATATATATAGATTTTGCTTAATAATTTGAAAAGTTTAAATCTAAAACAAAAAAGCAGATCACTGCCCTTATTTCCTTCAAAAGCAAAGCATTACTGAATACAATAATATATCGTTAAAGTGTTCCTTCCATGATTCCTATTTTGGTTAATATATAGCGATTTTATTATTACATTATGATAAAAAATAATAATTGAATTTAGAAAAAAATTAAATAGAGATACACTACATCCAAAAAAAAGAGATTTGATAGCTATATAATATCACCATACCATCAGTTAAAAAAAAATTATAATTACCTGGGCAGAAAAGGCATTAAAGAATGCATAATATACTTGAGGTGTGATGAAAGCTATATTCTGGAAAATAGTAAATGTGACAGAAATGAGCTTGTACATAGGAAAAGTGCAAATGGAAGCATTACATTAAAAGAATAATTTTCCAAGTTTAAAAGTTCATTTTAATAAAAAAAGTAAGTTCATCTGAATTAAACATAACTGTATTAACTCTTTGCATTACATTGATTTTTGTTGTTTATGTTGAATTTTGTGCAAAGCTATTTGAGGGCTGTCTGTGAAAGCCATTCCTAATTTTGAAGTGATAAACTAAAGGGAAGATAGCTAGTAAACACCACTACTGCCAACTCTTGGGGCTTCTCTTTAACAATGAATAGTGGGATTAATTGTCATATCCCTCTCACTGCTGAAAGGGCAAGTGTGTTTGGCAATGAGTTTTGATACCGTGACCCACAGTTTGCAAATCTAGCACCCTAACCACCAGGTCACGTCATGTATAAATGATGTTTTCATCAACTTAAAGCCTTAACAACTGAATTTTATAAAATATGTACTTTACTATTTCAGATTTAGTATTTATTTTAGAACTAGTACACACAGTCTTCCTATCCAGATATCATTCTATTGAGCAATCTCAAGCTCATTATGTTCAAAGATAAGTTAAACACGAAATTATTATTAAGAAAATATTCAGCACAGTACAGAGAAAATAATACTATCACCTACCTTGTAAAAGAAATACTGCACCAATGTTGAAACACGAATGTAGTAATAATGGCCATGAACAAGTAGTATGCGTTGCAAGAAACGAAAACGAGCAAAAGCAAAATCACTACATCGTACAGCCTGTCTACCTTCTTTACCCATAATGCCTGCAATTAGACAGAAGTGCAGTTATATGAGAGTTATCATATTATTCTATCATCACTAAGCTTAGTTTAAGAGTAATATTTAATTACTTGGTCAATTCATTAAATGATCCTGATTGGAACATGCAAGTTGTACAAACTTTTGGTGTATGCAAAGAATTATTTACATGCATTTATATAAATACATGCAGAGAAGTATATGCTGGTCTAAAAACCCTCAAGTTGTATTTCATTTCATAATCCAAAATTTTGTAATGAATATTATCAAAAGGTCAATTTTTCAACAAAAAAAGAATATACCATTCCTTTGTAAGGTTAATTCCAACAAGTCTAATATGCACAGGCAGCACCAATCAATGACATGAAGCAATGGTGTAAGCAGTTCAAAAATATATGATCTGTGTATCCTAAATGGAACACTAGACCAAATTTTTCAAGTTTCTTCATACCAAGTACAATAGAAAACCATTATGATTTACATATGAATATTCTATCAGTTTTTGTAATCCCACAGATCAGCAAGGTGGTTGAGAAACACTGCACCAGTCTGTGGACTGGTGGTTGAGAAACAGGGCACTAGACAATCTAAATAAACAGAATGTCACTCCAGTAACTTAATTACAGGAATCACATTTTTGAGCAGAATGGAGTACTTAGCTTTTTTTTTTTCACACTCAGAAACTAACAATATCATTAGATGCTTGTTTCAGTAAGACAGGGAACCACTCCACTGTGCCCTTTGTGTTTGTAAGGCACTGGACAATATCCTAATGAGCTGCTTGACCATGATGACTACAAATACACCATCGATTTTCCGGCACCCTTGCTGGATTATCCATTTTGCCAGACCAACAGAGGTCACGTAATAACAATAATTCAACAATACACCTATGACCCACTAATTATACCCCTCCAGTGTCTCTAAAGCACTATGAAACTTAAATAAAACAAATATTAAATGTATATTAAATGATTAATTAAATACACTAGTACAGGTATAAATGATACAGATTTATTAGTACAGTATAAATGATAGAGGTTTATCAGTACAGTATATATGATACAGGTTTATCAGTACAGGTATAAATGATACAGATTTATTAGTACAGTATAAATGATAGAGGTTTATCAGTACAGTATATATGATACAGGTTTATCAGTACAGGTATAAATGATACAGATTTATTAGTACAGTATAAATGAAAAAAGTTTATTAATTACTGTACTTACACAGAATGTTACAGTAGTACTGCTTCCAAAGTGGCAAAATTTAGAGTTTTACTGGAATTGTAGAGCTAATCACAAAGCTCTGGAAGCTGGGAGCTGTCAGGATTACTGTCTGTTTCATCATGGATTTGTGATGTTGCAGGTGAACACATGTAGTACTTGAAGTTGAAGCCACAGAATTATCGGATGTAGGCCTACTGCTCCGATACACATGCTTCTTGGCTACATTTTTAAACATTTCAACAAGCGAAGTTGTTTTATATGCTTTGATCTTTCCCTGTGTAATTTTTCATACAGCAAATGAAGAGTCATTAGGTCTTGTTCCATCATGAAGATACGTTGCTCTAGCCCACTGATTAATTCACTCATCAACTCAATTAGAGTGACGTACCTACTTAAGTAAGTAGTCTATCCCGAAAGAGCAGGTGCCACATGCAATGCCATCTGTGGCTGCCCAGTGAACTAGTCTGGCAGTCGCAGGAATTTCAAATGCGCTCTTGTAATTTTGTCTAGATTATAGGAGGTGCCAGACCATCAGTTGTCGGAAAATCAGTGGTGCATTGTGTTACTATAAGCAACATGTTCTACTGACCTAATGGTGCTGACCTTTGTCTACAAGGACAATCTAGAGTTTAAACATAACATCCAGCTATGAAAGCCAGTTATAAAGATCAGATCATAGATATAACTGATGCAATTCCAGAACACATGCTTGTCAATGTGTTTAAGAAACAGTAAAAATTCTTGCAGATGGGTACCAATGTAGAAAGATGTCATGTAGATATGTTTAAAATGTGAAGATATGTAGACCAATATATACTTTACATATGCTACTGTATTCCTTCATTTAAATGTTATTATGTTTAAAAACTTGTACGACTATATGTAAATGTCCTAATTGATAAGTGCTGTCAGCTAGTGTTAGTATTTGGTAAAGTAACTGAATACAGAAACAGCTTGAATGTTTTATTAATTTCAGAAAACGATTGAAGTTTTAAACATAAACTGCAGTATATATGTTCAAATATTATCAATGTCAGTGATGTAGGCTTATTTCATAATAAATCTACTAGTGTTTACAATCAAGGCTAAAGTATGCCTAATCATTATTGTATAGGTTTGAATACGTCACCTGTTTTAATTACCCAAAAACAGCACTCCCGTAAACTGTTCTTTTGCATTTAGAATGCTCCATGAAAGGAAGTGTGGTACATTTGACCTAATAAACAATCATGATTTATTCATCAAAACAACCTGTGAGTAATCTGCCAATCTACAAATATTACATATCTTTCTCTCCCATAAAGTATTTCTTATCAACAAAATTCTCAAGACTTTTTAAAGATCTAATATGGAACATGCAAAGTCTGTTTGAGATACTGCTTAAAGATCCAGTCTAAGGTGTTATGTTTTATAGCTTGACAATTCCAAGAATGCATCCATTGTTTGGGGGGAATAGTGGTGACCTGTTTTATGATTGGTGAACTACAAAGAGAATGTGCCATGTTACAGCAAATTTGAACTTTTTTTCTAAAGATTCATTCTGATTATTCAATAGAGCAGCTTATCTATCTGAAATAGCCAAGACTCAGTTTTGAAAGTCTTGTACTTGTTCAATTTCTTTAGTCTATCTATTGATCATGCTGCTATATTTTAACTTAATTTCACTTCAAAATAAAACAGTTATAACCTGTTTTAATTATATACACAGTTTTTTTCATTTTATTCTTCTTACTGTAAAAACAATACTCATATTGCAACTGATAACATGGGCCTGCAAATTTAAACTTCATAAAAGTTGTTTTGGGTTTAATAATGGTTTTTCCATAATTCAGGTATGCAGATTTCAAAAATAATATTCATTTTTTTCTATCATGTAAGGTTTTTAAAAATCAGGAAGAAAAAACTTTAATCACCGTATTTGACGGCATATAGGACGCACTTATTTCCCAAAATATTGGCTCAAAAAATCGCCCTACGTCTAATATGCGAAGTTGAGACCTTCCGCAGGCTAATCTTCTTCCTAACGCTCACTATCCTAGCATATGATCAATACAGCATTCCAACTACGAAATAAGAAATTTGCATAGGCCAGATGCAGTCGAATTTTCAGCATCCTGTTAAAGGATGGAAGGTCTATCTCTTAAAAGTGCGAACGCTTGTCCCTTCAGAAACAAGGTTTCGTCACGTCGTTTTATCTTTACTGTGTAACTTGATATAGCAACCAACTTGTGTCAACAACTCGAAAAATGCACGGCCAATCAGTGAGCGAAGATAGAGATAGTGGCAAATTACAAGCAAACAATAGGGAATGCTACCGCGTGCTCCGTCTATCTATTTAAAGTCTTTGCGTTGAGCGCACGTAGGCTATTTAGCCGATTTGTGAACCAACTTCTGACATTTTTTCCTGGGTGAACTGTAGAGTAAGATAAATCAATCTAATATTAAAATAATAACGGTGAGTGTTTTTACATTGGGGTTTTCCTGTCTCTTTATAGTGTACATTTAAATTTTTGGTTTACTCAAATTCATTTATTGTTTTTTTTTCAGTGCTTTAAAAACGTTATGGTAGCAGGAGGAAAAAGATCGAGCTACACAATCTCCTACAAATTACAAGTGGTAGATTATGCCAAGAAGCATGACAATAGAGCAGCAGCAAGGGCTTTTGGGCCATCACCTACGGAAAAAATGATATGTGTCTGGCGACAGCAAGAAAACCAACTGAAGAGCACAAGGAAAGGTAAACATAACCTTCGTTACCCAGCCCCCACATTGGCCAGAACTCGAGGTTGACATAAAAACGTGGGTGGTAAATGAGAGAAATTCAGGGAGAAGTGTTTCTACCAAAATGATAATTCATGAGGCCAGGAAAGTAGCAAACAACGAGGGATACAGAACTTTGCAGGAACAGAAGGTTGGT